ATAATGCAATTATCTTGACTTCTAGTGATCCAATATTAATAAACTTTTTTTTAATTTATAGCTCTCATTTAATTCTACAAATATAGTTTTACAAAACAAAAAAAAGTTTGTTCAAATTTAATCACTAGAAGTCAAGATAATTGTATTTATAATTTATATTATAATAGTAATTATTATAATGCAATTATTTTAACTTCTAGTGATCCAATTTTAATAAACTTTTTTTTAATTTATAGCACTTATTTAGCTTTAAAAGTCTAACTTTACAAAACAAAAAAAAGTTTGTTCAAATTGAATTACTAGAAGCTATAATACTAATTATTATATATAATATTTAATATTTAATAGTAATAATTTTTTTAGCCAATCAGATTTCAATCAGGTGGGGTGGGAGTTAAGGCTACTAATTGAGAGAAATCAGCTGATTTCTGGCATGCCTCTTATGGCACTTTTTTTGAATTATGGCTAACATCTTTAATTATAATATTTGCAAAAGTATTATATATAGTAATTTAAAATTTTTTATATTTTTTGCATATTTGTAAATTTCAATTTACTGAATACCATTTTATTGGCAAATTTTTAAATAGATAGAATTATTATGATTATAAAGTTCTATTAAATTTATATTTATATTCATTAAATATATTAATTATTCCAATTTTAAAAGTATAAAAAATTTTAAATATAGTCTTTTTAATTTAATTTCAATTTTTTGGATTAGTATAAGAATTTTTATATATTTAAGTATTATTATCTTATTACTAATATACTAATAAGAGTAGAAAAATTAGGTCAGCTTTTATTATTCTATATTGATACAATTATTTAGGTATAATTAACTTTCTTCTTATCCTTTTTTAGTATTATAAACCTAAAATTTTATATAAGTTATTTGAGATTTTTTAAAGTTTTGTTATAAAAATTTAAAAATTTATATAGTAAGTAGTTTATATTTTAATAAATATGAAGTATAAAAACTATTATTATAATTATAAATAATAAAAATCATATAATATTTGTATTATATTAATATATGATGATTTAAATAATTTAGTAAAATAAATTATCTGGATAATTTTATTTACCATTTATATATTCTTTAGGATTCTTTTTTACCTTTTAAAATATTATATAATAAATATTATAATTCTATTAATATTATATTTATATTTATATATTTTGATAATTACATTCTACTGGATGGGTAAACTCATAATAATTTATTTGTATAATATATAAATTTAATATCAATAAAGCATATATAAATCATTAAAATATATATATATATATATTTATATTTATAAAATTTATAAAAATTAAAATACAAATAATTTTGATTTTTTTAAATAGTTTTATTTAAGTATAAAGTCAAAAATCATATAATATTTGTATTACATTAACATATGTTAATTAGCAAAACAAACTATCTGGATAATTTTGGCCATCATCTGTATATTCTTTATGATTCTTTTCTACCTTTAAATATTATATAATAAATATTATAACCTTATTAATCTTATATTTATATTTATAAAAATTAAAATACAAATAATTTTGATTTTTTTGAATAATTTTATTTGAGTAAAAAGTGATTTATTTAACCAAAATAGTGAAATTATATAGTAAATAAAAAAAATTTTTTTGGGAGTTAATATTATTATAAAAAAAAGTATGCTTTTTTATATGAATATTATATTTAGCTTTATAAAGTTGAGATACAACTCATACAAGTAGTTTCATCTTATTTAATAACTTTACTTAGGTTTAAAAGATAATTTTATTTAATTAAAGTAGTAAAAACTAAAGTTATACATATTTTTATTTAACAAAATAAGTAATTTTATATTAAAACAGTATTAAAAATTAATAAAAGATACTATTAAAAGATATTCATTTGTATATTTAAAAAAGAAGGTTTAGTTTAAAAATTCATATAAATGTTTCTGTTTAAAATTTAAAATGTAATGCAAATAAAAATTAAGATGAAAATTAAAATTACTGGTAGTAAAAATAAAATTAAAATGATTTATTATAATATTTTCAATACAAGTTAAAGTATATTAAAATTATAATAATTATTACTATTAAAAAAAAAATAAATGATTACTCTTATTTATAGAATAATAAAGTAACTTAGAGTAATGGTACTGTAGTTTATTAAACCCATCTAAATAATTTTAAATTATACTTTGTTCTTCATGATGCATATAAATATTAAATAACAATAAAGAGATTTATGTAAACAATAAATTTCAAATCTGTAAAATCTATTCCTCGAATTTCCGATTCATGTTTATTTATGGGCAAAGATATTACACTTCGTGAAATGAAAATCAATCTCACCCAATAAATAACAAGGGTAAATGGAAAAAAAAAAAATTATAACATTCTTTATTTCTTTATTAAAAAAACGACCTGTTTTTTCCCGCTTTCTTTCTGACAATCCTTTCTACATATTCTTTGTGGTTAAATTAAATTGTTTCACTAATGCATGATATGCAGTCTGTACTATAAAGGAGTAAGGAGTAAGGAGCAAGGACTATTCCTGAAATAAATGGAAGGAGTTTATGCATTAAAACGTAATATAATATAATATATCTTACTTAATGTACAATCGCTAAACAACTCCGAATTGCAGATTTACGGTGATTTCTTTTCTGAAGAGTTTGTCGACAACATGTTTGCATAAAATATATTTATAAAAAGCTTAGATTGAAAAATGCAGAAAATGAAGCTAATGCAGTGTTGACAAAGATTTTCTCCTGTAAATTTCTTTACATAAAAAACAACATATAAGGAAATAATATTAAGAGAATAATTATTAAAAATCTTACATTACAAATTGCAGTATGATTGTCTTCAATGCCTAACAAGACTAAGAAGAGAGATCTTTGCGAAGAAATAATTGTTCTTATTTGAAATATTCGTTTAGCCGATAAATATAGATATGATTAACATGGTGTTAGTATTTACGAGCTCGACGATCTTGATCGACGTTTACACAATCTATTTTCCCGATTTTTCCATTGTGCATGTGAATCAACTTTGAAAACTTTTGAGAATGTTCTTATTATACGGTTCTCTCGAAGGAATATTCATTCACTTTCTACCTATCTTCCAATTTCATGATAGCACTTAGTCAAATATTTTTTTTGATCATCTGTTGGAATGGAATAACTTTCGTATTATTGAATTTTCTTTAACCAAGATTCGTAAGTACGAGTACGAATCTTGGTTTTATTTTTGGTTTTTTTTTTATTATTTTGGAACGGTTTACTAACCGTTCCTTTCTTTTTTTTTATAGGTTCGGGTGGACTTCCGACGAATGGAAAAGATTCGTATTGAATCTTAATATTCTTATTGTGAAAGACCTTATTAAATTTTAACGTGTCTCTAAGATCCTTAATTAAGGATAATTGAGAATTTTCATCATTCTCATGAAGAGAACGTTGATTTTGAGATTCTTATTACGATGAATATCTATGCCAAGAATGGTAAAAGATATATATAGATATATATATATAGAATGGAAGCAATAAGTGCTAATAAGTGAAAAAATTTCATTCTTATTTACTTTGCTATAAATCGTAGAATCACGTGTTGCAACATTTTTATTGAGTCGGGCCCAAGAAGATTAAGAAGTTAAAAGATTATCATATCGAACTACTATAATAGTACTTGCTTGATTTTTAACAGCTAAAAATATAGCTTTAGCCATGAAACAACATGATCTTTTTTAATCAATATAAATAACAACTGATGAAAAACTAATGTCAAAGATGATTGGCTTATTGAACAAAAGCCAAAAAAAGAACCAAAAAAAAGATGCAACCCCCAAAATTTTATTAATAGAAAGTGCTCTGTCATTTGGTGATGCGTGCTGATCATGACAGGATTGGGCATTTACAAAGAGAGTTTTTTAAAAAAAATATATATATTTGTATAAATTATTTAAATTATAACATTTATTCTTGATCGGGAATATATAATAAAATAAAATAAAAAAAAAAAAGATTCTGGAATCTGGACATTTGCTTTTTTTTTAATATTAATATTTAAATATTATATATTTAAATATTATATGGTAAATTCTTTATAAATTTAGAAATTTATGCGCCCTTCGACCTTATCGAAGACATATCAGATATCATCTTTTGAAATGACGTATTTGTTTTCTTTAAAATAATGCATGTTTTAATGCATATAATATCATCCAATATGAAACGATAATCAATACCCTTATCTTTATAAAAAGAAAATAGATTGAATAAGATTGAATAAAGTATAATTCAATGAATTTTAAAGTTTACGCTAACCAAGTTTATTTTAACAAAAATGCATGGCGGATACGCACGATATAAAAATCCGTTCGAGTAAAAATTTCTTAAATCACTTGTGTGCTAAATCCTTACAGATAACGCACAGATTTCGCATTAAAAGAAATCAACTTACGTAAAAGGTGAATTAAAATTTTCGGACTCTTGATAAACGATTGACATATCCTTTTTAAGTAAATCAATCAACCTTATGTTAGAAGTCAAGTAACCATGCTTAAATCATTTTTAGTAAAACTTTCAAATTTTACTAAATTTATTTATATGTTGTACTATGAAAAAATTTAGAAATTATTTACATTTTTCCATTTTATACAGCGAAAATTTACTTTTTATAATAATAAATCTAGGTTAACTTTTATTAATTGTTCTATTAAACATTACAAAAATAGACATCAAAAAAGAACTTCCAAACATTCTCCCTCGCTCGTCTTAATATTATTTATATTAATATTATTTGATTTTAAATATTATATATAAATAAATCAGGATTTTGATCAGGAAGTATGTGGCTTCAAAACTGTTATAAATAGGATACTATCCCCCTTTTTGTTACCGCTTCTTTTTTAAAAAAAATTTTGAAAAAAAAAACTAAATTTTTTTTTTTTGTTTCTATTTTAAATTATTCAAACATTTTCGGCCTTACTTTATTATTTAACAAATATGATTTCTTCTGAAGGCTCTTCAAGACGCTCTTCTATTCCTTGTGTCCCTGTTAATTACAAAGGTTCTAAACGTCAAAAGGCTGGAAATTCTCTTATTCCACGTTTTATGTTTAAACAGGCCAAACCTGCTATTGACTATTTTAGTTTAAAGAAAGATAGCGCCAAAACTAAAAAGTCAGTTTCATATTCTCCAACAGTCTATTGTGAACCATTAAAAATTAAAGGGTCTTATATCTCACGCAAAGCAGCAAAAAAAGTTGAATCTCTACTTTCTAACTTTCAAGACAAACCACGACAAAAGAATGTTACTTTACCTGGAAAATCAAAAATTCCGGTACCTAAAAAAACGAATGTTTCAACCCCTTTAACTACTACTACGACGCGTACTTCTCATAGAAATTGTACTACCTGTTCTCATAGAGCTAGTAGTCTTAAAAATACAGTTAATACGGTTAAAAAAAAGAATTCACGTGTACGTTTTAATTTAACTAAAGATAATCAAGATAATCAAGATAATCAAGTAGACTATTCGACTTCTACTTCAATCAAAAAACCACTTCAGAACTTATTTAAAAAAAGGGTTTCTCCATTACCTTTAATTAAAAGCGATGATTTATCGCCTAATTCTAATTCACATAAGGAAAATACGGTTTCTCCGTTACAAAAACCATCTACTCCTACTTTAATTAAGAACGATGATTTATCACCTACTTCTGATTTATATAAGGAAAACACGGTTTCTCCATTACAAAAACCATCTACCCCTACTTTAATTAAGAACGATGATTTATCACCTACTTTTAATTCACATAATGTTTCTCCATTACAATCATATACTCCTACTTCACCTGAAACAAATGACCTAGTATTTGTTTGCACTCCTACTTTAATTAAAAGCGATGATTTATCACCACCTACTTCTAATTCACATAAAGAAACAAATGATTTAGTATTTATATGCACCCCTACTTTAATTAAAAGCGATGATTTATCACCACCTACTTCTAATTCACATGAAAAAAATGATCTAGTGTTAGTATGCTCTTCTTTAAAAATTAAATATACTTCCTTGAAAATTAAACCTGAAGCATCAATTTCAATTACTCATAGTAATGTTGAAGTTTCAACAACTTCTATTATTAAACCGGAACTTGCATCCATCTTACTTTATAAAGCAGAAAAAGATTTATCAAGTACTAAGCAACAAGCTGATGAGAATGTTGAAAATGGTAAGTAAAAAAATTTATCGATCTCAAAGTCTATTAATATTAATACTTATAAATGTGAATATTAATAATGCATTTTATATTTTTCTTTTCTTTAGCTCCAACTTTAGTTGGCAATGTTTGTAAAAATATCGTGCGATTTAGTAATTTTATTTCCAAAATTAAGACATTAGTTTAGTTATATTTTAATCTTCATTTTATAATGTAAATAATTTGATAAATTAATTTCAAATGACGTTCAATGTAAATAATAATTTAGTATGAAAAGATAACTTTTTCATTATTAATATATATTTTTAGTTTATTTTAATCACAAAAAAAAAGACATTATAGTAATAGTGTTTACTTCAAAAAAAAAAAGACATTTTTTATAGTAAAAGTTGGATTACACAAAAAAAGAGACATTTTTTTTATAAAATGGTTTATTTGGAATTAATAAAAGGGTTTTATTGTTTCTAATTCTGTTTATGTTTAGCTTACATTTTGAAATTTCTATAAAGCGTTATATTAAAGAATCACCAATTTAGTTTTAATATCACCCATGTGATGAACAAATCAAGAATTTTTCCGTATTTAGTGCCTCCGTGACAACAAGGGCTAGAAAATCATCGGATTTATAAAAAACCGCGGGTTAAGAGACTAATTTTTTTGGTTTTTTTTTAGAACAAACTTTTTAAATTCAGCGAAAATGAAGTAAATATTTAAATATGATAGTAATCGAAAACTAATTTTATATTAATATTTATTGTTTATAATTTTTATTTCTTAAAAAAAGTTTTAACCCATCATCGGTTAGCCCTCCTAATAAAAAATTAGATCCTCCAAAAGATACTCCAATTACTTCAGAAGAGCTCGCAAAGGTATTTTGTTCATTTCACTTCATTTAAAATAATAAAATAATTTCTTCATTTATATTGTATCAATTTTTTAAAAATCATTATTATAAAATTATTAATAGTACGACGGTTCAGACACAAATCTTCCAATTTATCTTGCTGTTAAAGGAACGGTATTTGATGTTAGCGATAAACGTGATATGTATGGACCAAGTGGTAGTTACCATCTCTTTGCAGGGAAAGATGCTTCTAAAGTATGTATATTTCCAAAATTTTTTAATTAAGCATTATATTTAAGCGATATAAATCAAAATTTTTTTTTTTTTTTTTTTTTTTTTAGGGATTGGGTATGAGTTCTTTGAATTTAGAAGATGCTATTGCAGATTATAGTAAATTAGACGAATCTCAAGTAAGTTTATATAAACCAGAATTTTAATTTTACTACTTGGTATTTTAAATTCTTTTTTTAAAAAAAAATTTTCTACTACAGTTGAAGGTTTTGAACGATTGGTATGATTTCTTTAAAGCCCGATATAATATTGTAGGCAAAGTTGTGTGATTATCATTTGTGATCTTAATCGGTTAAACATCTATTTTATTTTTGTATAAATACTGCTATATGTAGTTTCCCTTTTTTTTACGAAATAAATTATCAACTTGTTTAAATTTTATAATTTTAAGTTATTTTATTATTTATAAAATTAAAAAGTAGGTTTGACGGATTACCAAATTATTGTCAAACATAATGTCTTGGCGTTGTAAATATTTTAAAATTAAAAGTAAAAAGAAAAAAAGTAAAAATAACTCTATGAAATTTTGACAATGAATGTCTAATTCTAACAAATATAACAAATTCAATCTCATCAATACTGAAAAAGTTCATTAATCAGTCGAAAGAATCCTTTATTTAATACTTGATTTCAATATCACCTTCAGCGGGAGCATCCAAATCAACATAAGATTTTACTTGACGTGGATCGGAGCTTTCGCTGTAAAAATAAATAAATAAATAAATTAATAAATAAATTTTATGTAAGGAATGATATAAAGTAAATCATAAATTTAACAGTAAAGTTATTTTCATTTACTTTGGTCGTGTTCGAGATAATTGTTTACGACTATTTTTTTGTCCTCGTTCACGTCCATCTTCTCTTGCATCAAAACCAATTCTTGGGATCTGATCATGAGGTGTTCCAGCGGCAGCACCAACAATCGGAAAGTTAAATCCCATAAATGGTGGTGGTGGGGCGTTGGTCATAACTGAGAACGGATTTGTTGGAATAGGAGTTACATTTTGAGGAACATTCAATGCCGCTGTCGGATTAGGTGGCGTGGTTGGAAGTAGATGATTTGGATCAAGTACATAGTTATTAAAGAATTTTGTCTATAACAAAAATATTTTTTAGTATTTATTTAGTATTTATTACAAAATGATGCAGATGACAAATTAAAAAAAACCTCACATCATTCGAAGTGATTTCAACAGTTTCGTGATGCTTATAATCAATATGTTTCTTAACAAAATCGGATCCTTTGAATAATTTGCCGCAAAGTTTACATTTAAACTTGCGTTGAGGATCTACTTCGACGACGTGTTCTTGATAAAATTTTTCTAAAACTCTTAATGACAATAAAAAAAATATTATTATAACTCTGCGTATGCTCTGCATAAATACCAATTATAAAAAAAACATACTTTTGGAGGCTAATTCCTCCATGTTTCTCAATTTCATTCTCAAATTTCCAGGGCTCGGTCTTATAGGCTATTTTATGGTCTAAAGTCTTTAACCACTGAGTAGCTTTTTTGAAAAAATGCAAAGAAGAAAAATCCTTAATGTAGTTTAAATGTTGTTACTGATATAAAAAATTAACAACTTACAATTAACTTGTTTTTCTTTGTTTTTGTTAACAGAAGTCTTTCCTTCGCCACCTAGCACGCCTCTAAGGTGACGACCTGGACATTTTCTTGCAAGTTCTTCAACAGAATCAGATTCACTGCCACAATAATAGCAGAACATATGTGTACGACGCAAATATTCAATGTGAAAATCCAATAATCTCTTAACCTAAATTTGAATAAAATTTTCATGTTAAAAACAATTTCCATTTCGATCAAAAATAAAAAAACAACTAACATCATCTGCTTCGTCACGATCTTGACTATTATCAAATTGAGCAAGCCTTGTTCTAATTTCTGTGCTTCCTTCAAATCCACCATCAATATCATTATCCAATTTATCACAAAGTTTCTGAATTTGATTCAAATCTTTTTTCAATCGTTCAATGCTACTAGCAACATCGGGAGTAATTCTATTACGAACAGGACCGGTTTGATTCTTATGACGAGCAAGATAAAAAACAAATTCATCAATCTATTGAGAACAATAAGAAGAAAAAATTTAGTGAAAATGTATTAATTGATAATTGCACATGTATTAAATATACCTTTTGTTCATTTAGTTTATCATATGCACTGTCCATGTCGGTTCCTTCTTTAAAAACGATCCAACCCAAACGATGAAACTTCTTCTGAGGATTAGGTTCAGATAATGCGAGATACTGAAAACCTTCAATCGTCTTGCACATCTTTTATATAAAAGTATTGTATAATTCGTGTTAAAAATTTACAATTGATATTTTATTTTAAAAATACATACTTCTTCTATTTTTTGTCTTGAAATATTCGGTGAAACACTCTTTATGAAAAGCCTGTTTGAATCTTCATCCGGATCTTTAGTTTCAACTTTCACGCCATCTGTCAATATTATAATAATTAATAATGGAAAGAATCCTTTTTTTTAAAAAAAAAAAAAAAGAAAAAAAAAAAATTTGACAAACCCTCTTGCTTGACACTATCCTCAGATGCATCATTGTTAATTTTATCAAGTAAACCTTCTTTCAAATCTGAAATAAATTGTTTATATAAATCTTTCTTCAGTTCTTTTGTCACAATAGCTCTCTCTTGTATATATTTTGGATGATATTTTTCAAGGAACCATTCTTCCTTTTTATGTGATTCAAAGAAAGTTTTTAATTGCTTAAGAGCAAAAGCTTCCTTATATTCATTATATTTTTTGTGCAATTCTTCATCGGAAAGGCGATTTTTTGGATTTGAATGTTGCATAAATTCAGAATAATATTTGAATGTTACCAAAAAATCCAATTGATCTGGGTCCTTTGGTGTTTCTTGCCTATAAATTTAAATATTATAAATAAAAAAAAAAAATCATATTTAAAATGAAACAGCTAATTCGCCACTATATTATCTTGCCTTGGACCTGACCAATCCATTGGCATCATAGGCGCACCAGGGGGTAAAATCTGAGGATTTGGACCAACGCTGAAACCTATAATTTTAAATATAAAAATTTCAAAAAAGAAAAAAAAAATCATTATTAATTATTACTTTATACATTGATAGAAAACTGGGCAAAACACTTACCGATTGGCATTACTGGAAATCCAGGTGGAGGGAAACGAATATCCCCTGGCCTTCCAACATACCTAGGAGCAGGTGTATATCCATCCTTATCGTAATTGGGAATATAATGATCACCACCATCTGACGGTTGTCTTCTTGGGTCAGGGGAAATCGAACGCCTTCTTTTTGAGCGGCGATCTAAATAGGAAAAAAAATCATTGTCAGTGAGTTAACTAGTACTTTTTTTTTTTAAAAAAAAATATTTTTATGATTAGACAAGTTACCATTATTTCGATCTTCGGGAGAAGAATTACTATCTCTTTTGCGTCTATCAACATAATTACCACGATCCCTATTTCGATCTCGGTCTCGATCTCGATCACGGAAGTCACGAACCTCGCGATCTCTTTCACGGTCTCTTTCACGAAGGTCACGGTCACGAATATCTCTGCGATCAACACTGTTTCTACGTTCGCTTGTGAATTTATCACGAGAATGATGAGGCCCTTCGTCATCGGACTGATCCATTCGACGTTTAGAATTCATCTTTGACTAACGTTGTTTATGATAAGAGCTCTAAATTCGATAAAAGGGCGTAAGGATTTGTTGTAGAACAAAGGTAATCTGTTCTACATCAAAAAATAATAAAGAACGATCCCAAAGGTCAAAAAAAGAGCGAAAATTTGGTGAGATTCATGCTTTGTGTGTTTCTTCAAGAAAATTTTTTTTTTAACTTGAAGGTAGATGGTTTTTCAATAATTGGTTTATGCATCATGTGAGAAAAATGGAAGGAAAGTTTATAAAAAGAATGGGAAACAAAAAGAAAATAATACAAAACTATATACAAGTTTATAAACAATTAGTTTTTTAGTTATATCAGTTTTTTAACTAGAAAGATTATAAGAGAAAGTAAAAAGTTTCTCAAACAAGAAAATGAAGCAAAATTCCAAGTATTTTGTATATTTTCGATAATGTAGTTTTTTAAAAAGTACCGAGATATGTGTCCTTGATTAGTTTAGTTTATTATTTAAAAGAGTTTCAAACAAGCAAATAATGCGTTTAATAGTTAACTGCTTTTTATTTTACACTACTTAAAGGTTCTCAGCGAAGATAAGCTTTTACGCTGCTGAGAACGTAGATGGACTCACTCACCAGATCTGTGTCGAAGTCAAACTAGTCGACTCTTTTCTTAATGTAATTTCCCCATTATAATATTTTATATATGATTACTAATAACATGTGACTATGAAGTTTCCACGTGACTATTACTCATGTGGTTCCAAATTTAAGGTACCTGACAAATATGACGAAGTTTTTTACCTTAACTCTTTCCTTTTAGCAAATATTAAGAATAAAAATATATAAATATAAAAATATATAAATATATAAATATGTCAACAATTGAACAAAAAAAAGTTAAATTAACTTCTTCCGAGGGAACGGAATTTCAAGTTGAAAGAAGTGTAGCAGAGAGATCAGTATTATTGAAAAATATGTTGGAAGATGTTGGAGAAAATGATATGGGTAAGCATTTAAAAATTCTTTCTAGTTGTAGACTGATAGTAAAAAAATGCTAACATTACAATTTATGTTTAACTTGTTTGTTACTAACGTAATAATAGCAATACCTCTTCCAAATGTGACTGGTCCCATTCTTACCAAAGTAATTGATTATTGTACACATCACCGTAATGATCCAATACAAAATCATGATGATGACCTCAAAAAAACTTCTGAAGATATTGACGATTGGGATGCAGAGTTCTGTAAAGTGGATCAAGGAACACTATTTGAATTAATTTTGGTAAATAAAATAATTTACATATATAAAAAATATATTTATTCAAGAATTATTAACGAATAAAATTATTATTGATAAAAGGCTGCCAATTATCTCGATATCAAACCTCTTCTTGATCTTACTTGTAAAACGGTTGCTAATATGATTAAAAACAAATCTCCTGAGGAAATCCGTGCAACATTCAATATTACAAATGACTTTACTCCTGAAGAAGAAGAACAAGTTAGAAAAGAAAATGAATGGTGTGAAGAACGATAATTAACTTGTCATTAATACATTTCTTCTTTTTATATTTCTTTTCTTTTCTATTTGCAGAATCTTTTGATTGTAAATGATGCTATTAGAGAAGTCAATTTTATTATTTATCTTATTTTTTTTTTATCTTTATTATAGTAGTAATATAAACAATATCTTCCATAGTATCATAATCATTAACATTGTAATTTGTAAAAAAAAACCCTCAATAATATTATAATATCATTTTCAAATGAATGAAATTATTGTTATATTATTTGAATAATTATGGAAACCAAAAAATTACATCATAAAATAAATTCTGATTTATTTATTATCTATAAAATACAGCAAATTATCAACATCTTATGTTACTCTTCAAAGCTTTCACACCACTCGTGATTAAATTCAAATCATACGTACTATATTATACTATTAATCTATTCCGTTAACTTTCTTTTTTCTTTTTTCTTTTCCATAATTTTATTATCATCAGCAATTTCAACAAGTAATTGATTTCTAATCAGTAATGTTAAATGTATGTCCGATAATTTTTTCATTCCTTCATTTAATCTCTGAAGTATATTTGTCAACAAAAAGATACAATATTTGGGTAAATTATAAACTTAACAAGAATGGATTTAAAAAGACAGAAAAGATACTTATGATGTTTTAACAAGGGCGCGTAAGGATCCACTGTTGGTTTAATGTCTTTCAAATGAGTCATCTCTTTATTCAAATTTAAATTTTCAATTTAATTAAAAAAATAAAAAACACATTTTTTTTCATATACTCGCGTTTTTACTAATTTATAAATTGCAGCCGTGCTCACTAACTAAATTTGTATCCGATCTGCGTGATCTCGTAATCTTCCAGCGAAAATCAAAGGAGTAATAGCTAGAACAGCGGCACCGAATATAATAAGAGTATTTCTAAACTCAAATAATTCAAATAATAATCCAGCAATAACAGGTCCAACAAACATTCCAATTGAATAAGCCATATTCCATAAAGCATAAATTTGACCGTAAGCACCCCCACCCTTTTGCGTAACATAATGTCCAAGTAACGGTAACGTTGGAGTTGTTACTATTGAATAAGTGGCACCAAAAAATAATAAAGGCAATACCACTAGCCAAAATTTACTTGGTAGAGAAATTAATGGAGTTGCTATACCCATTAATATCATACCTATACCGCATGTTCTTCTTTGTCCTATATAAAACGAAATATATCCCACTGCTGGCGATAAAAATGTTGGTATTGCTATTGCAATAAATATTAATCCAATCAGGGATGCATCTGCATCAAATTCTTTACGAAGGTAGATTGGAAGAATGGGTTCAAGTCCTAATATAAGAAAGAGATGAAGAAATTTTACACATCTTAAAAAAAATCACCGAAAATGTCGACTTTTTGATAATTACCAGCCAGTATACTAGCAACAACAATAATAGCTAAGCAGATATTAATAATGTTCCAATCAAAAATTAAATTCCAAATGGAGGGAGATTGTGTGTGAAATTCTTGATTCGCATCTTCTATATCATCATTAATAATAGAATTTTCATCAACACTTTGATATGTTGATAAATCTGAAGGTTCAACTATCATTGATATAACCAGGAAACCAAAAAATGCCAATATGGCACAAAAGAAAAACGGTGCTACATATCCCCAATATTGATAAAGTAATCCTCCAATTAAAGGCCCGATAATGGCCCCTAATGTATTTGCTGATAATACTGTTCCCATAACTACACCAAGTTTTGGACCTGATCCAAATCTGTCTGCCAACATAGCTAAACTTAGTGTCCTATAATCATCAAACGCGCGCATTAGATATAATACTTTAACGGAAGTCTAAACGTAAGGAATGCGCATACCATGATGCACCGCCAGCAGCACCTTGAGCGATACGAGCAACAACAAGTTGCCAGTATGAATTAGCAATTCCAAATAAGATTGAACAAATCGCGAGACTGAGCATACCAAACATCATCGGAATCTATTAAAAGGATATAAAATTAACTTTATTTTGTGATTGCCTGAGAGGAAAAAAGACTTTTCTTGTTTAACATTTACTTTTCTAGTATGATATTTATCACTTAGCACGGCAAATATAGGAGTAGAGCTTAACAATCCAATAGCTAATAAATTAAAAAAAATAAATATACAAACTCATTTAAATACATATACAAAAAACCTAAATTTAATTTAATTACCATAACAGCCGAAAAGAAATCCAATAGACTTAGAATCACGACCAAGTCTTTCATGAACGATAAGTGGTAAGATAGGTACCACGATACCATAAACGATCATATCCCTAATGTGTAAATATAAAGCTTATGAAGTAACCGCATATTTATATATTATAGACTCCGTTATAGAATAGGATAATATTACAAATGATTTTGATTACATGTCAACTTACGTGAAAAGAGCTATTGAGGTTACAATAATAACAGCAGTAGTTGACCTACGAAACCTACCGAACCATCCATATAGTGGATATTCAGCATTTATAGGATTATCTTCATGTCCGTTTAATATATTCACCTCCGTAGAGTCAATATTAGATGTATTGAAAGGCGCATCTGTATCTGATAATAAAGCTTCTCTTTCATCTCTATATGGTGATGTCATTTTTTAATGTAAAAATATGTTTCAGATCAGAAAAAATCATCTATTTTTTTTTTTAAAACAAAAAAAACCAAAAAAATAAGGGATACCGGATAAATAATTTGAAATTTTGACAACCGATCTCGGAATAAAGTTTATTATAATTTTCCCACGATATAGTTGATTATGAGATGATCTGTGAGTAAATATCCATATTTAATTTTGCCTTCCCGATTTTACCCATTATTTATAAAATAATGCTGTCTCTTTCGAACCTTAATAAGCTTCTTCTTGTCACTTTTTTTAGTATTTAACACATAAAATCCGGTTGTAATTTTTTACACGCAATCGAAAATATTTTAATTGAACTTATATACAAGACTATTGATGCTACCACAACTCCGAGTTTTTATGAATTTCTTGATGAAATAAACCAACAATGTGAAACATAACAGAGTTATTCGAAATTTCTTTTGATTTCGACCAAAGAAATGATACGGAATCAAGTTAGGGTGTTATCATAGTTGTGTCAATTTTTGATATTACTTGTGATACTATGTGCGCCAAAGCTTATCTATGTGCTATCAAAGAATTTACGTAATTTTTATAGAGTACGAGCGTTAATTAATTAATTCACATGTTAGGATGTCTCAAAATTATGACGTGCTGAAGAAAAAGAAAATATAATGGTATGTTTCTTTGTAGCTGGTAGTTTTTTTTTTAGCCAAATTTATAAAAAACCAATATATGATATACAGTGTTAGTATATCATACTTCTAATTATGTTTACTTTATGCATCGAAAGTTTCGGTCACGTATCGTGAAATACAAGTATCTCTCTTAGATTATGACAGTTAATTCAAATCCGCCAGTGTATAATTTTTAAAATAAATATCCAATAAATATATATTGAAGTAAAAGTCAATTTTTTTTTGTCTAATTTATAATAATTTAAAATTTTAAGAACGGATTATTGTAGGAAATTAATGTGATCTATGTATAATTCATCTTTCTGGTTCAAAAATAATAAGGAAATAATTTACATAATTTAATATTAATTTTCTAATTCTAGCTTTTCCAGTTTTCTTACTATTATTTTATATTTTTAAAATTAGCTTAAAAACACCAGATGTTACTTAGCGCCCATCTAAAGGCACCAATATTTTTCGATAAATTAACACTTGTTTCCTCTTTATTTGTATCAAAAAACTTACCTTGTATTATACAATTTCAAATAATTACATTATTCAATGAATGCCGAGGGATGATTTACACCAATAGGCGGAAACGGGTTAATTTCACTCAATACTAAATACATTTTTTGATAGGAGAGATAGCCCCTTATAAATCCCTGTAAGAGAAAAAAAAATTGTGAATAGTTTGTGATGGCCAATTTTATTGCTAAAATAATTAATAACCTTTCTTATCATCTCAGCGACAAACCAAATTACTTCGGTCATTTCCACATTTAATCCAACAAATTTTAACGCTATATGAAATTTTTCAAGTGGAATTCTTGATACTCGATTGTTTAGAATATATCTATTGTTTAAAAAGAAAAAAGTTTACTATATGACGTGTGAAGTTATGAAAATTTTATAGTGTATAGATACTAACACTTTCTTAAATAAACTTCGAATTGAAATTTCGCGAGCAAGTTCGACTGTAAGAAAAGTTTCATGTGCGACTAATATTTTTTCCTTTTGTAATAAAGCTTCTTCAAATTTTTTAACATTGCCATCTTTAATAGCATCAATAAATGGCCCATAAAGTTCATTTATTGCAGGATACCTTGATAATAACTCTCGTGATGGTAAAACGCCTCTAATTAACCAAACAGGAATAAGATAACGAAGAATAAGTTCTTTGTTATTCTTCTCAAATCTTGGACACCTTCTAAATGCAGCTACAAATCTTTCTTCAGCCTAATTAAAAAAAAAATATTAATCACTAGAATTCTTGCAATTTTGAAAATAAATATGAACATTACCTGTTGATATGCGGCTTCTAAAAATAAGAGTCTACCATGATAATATAAAAAAGTAACTTGATGAGGTTTTGGATACTGTCCAAGATTCGGTAAATCCTGTACTTTTATTGATCTTAAAATATTTGTACATAAATTCCTTTGTCTAACCTTTAATAGAATGATGATGATATTTTTAGTTTTAAAAATAAACACAACCACATATTTAAGATTTCTTTACCTTAAAATAAGTTTTAAATGCAAATCCTGCCATATAATAAACTCCCCATTTACGTGATGTATTAAGAGGAGATCTGAAATTAATTTGTTCAATTAATTTAATAAATTTACTAAAATAAAAATACAATCGCAAAACAATAAATAAATAATAAAACCTGTCAGTGATACAAGTCGAAAATCCTTTGTTTATGTTTCGAGCTGCTTCGTCTAAGCATTTCGGGTCTTCATCATTATCTATTAAGTAATCGTCAGCCTGGATCAAAAAAAAAAAACAAATTAGAGAAACTTCAAAAATATACATTAGAATACTTAAAAATCATTAACGAATAGATAACCTACTTAAAAATATTGTTGGCTGTTATTACCTTATCTGCAAGTTCTCTCGTTTCCCAGCAAATCATATATAAAACAGGTAGAATCCAACGGGACAGGTTTGACGCTAGCCTGAAAAAAATTCTATTTAAAAACATTTAGTTAATTTAGTAAAGGATTTATTTCAACCGTTTATAACAATGAAGATTAGAACTATAAATAAAGGATACATAGTCATATTATTATGTTCTTTGTAAACTTCATAATAATTATTTTTGTGAATAGCTAAAAGAACTTTGAAATATTGTAAAATAAGTTCAGCCCAAGGATTTCCAATTATACGATGAACATCCGCTTCCAGCTTTTTAGGCTATATAATTAATTCTTATTTAACATAGGAGAAACATAGTTTTGATTTGATAATTTTATTCGCTTACATTATTTTGTGATATTTTTAAAGTAAGATCTTTAACGTGAGATGCAGCAGTAGATAAAAGTACTTTAATACCGTCTCCGTCTTCAGCAGATGCGCAACTTTGGAAACTATCATAATATATTTTCATATTCATTTTGTCTGAGAAATTGGAATGAAGAAATTGTGATGATTATGATGAGAGCTCTTTAATTAAGAAATAAACATCAACATCATGTGAATTATACAAGAATGGTATCTAAAAATATTTCAAATAAACTATTTCGAAAATTCAAATATGACTCCAGCAGCGTAGCGCAGAGGAAGCGCGCGGGGCTCATAACCCCGAGGTCGGAGGATCGAAACCTCCCGCTGCTATATAATACCTATTTTTTTATTTTATTTTTTTGATTTCTGCTACGCCAATTTCAGCATTTACTTAATTACGCAGTTTTACGCAGAAATGAAACAATTGAGTTTCAAGTTTTTATTTTTATCAGAATTATTCTCTCAACTTTCAAAGATATTATTAAAGTCCTAAAATGAGCTGGTAAGTCAAAACATTTCGGCTAATAATAACACAAATGAGCTTTTTAACCTCCTTTTTTGTCTGAAATTGCAGGACGAGCTTCAAAAAATCTGTTAATCGTACTGGAACAAAGGTATTCAACAAATAGTTTTCGCTTCTTTTATTATATTCAAATAACTGATTCAAATTTTTTTTTTTATATTAATCAGATATCACAAAAAATTGGTGCAATTGAAAAGACCGTAAGTTTTAATAAAAAAAATATAAATAGTTTCTAAACCAAATAACATAACAAAATACTATTTCCTAGGTTGATCAAGATTTCGATCTCGAAGAACAAAGAATTAAGAGGTATTTAATGATTTATAATTTAAAATTTGCATCAAAATATTTATATTAAAAATATATTATAATTAGTCTTGAAGCAAAATGTGAAAAACTTCATAAAGAAACTAAAGGTTATTTAGAATCAATGAGAAGTAAGTAATTAACTTGAAACTTTTAAAATAATAAAAACAAGATTAATTTTCAAATAATTTAATTTTATAGCTTTATCCTCTGCACAATTGAGAATTGCTGAGACCGTTAATCATTTTTACGAAGATTCAAGTGATAATTCATTGGTTGGAAATAAGTACAAAGAAGTTATAGATAGATTAGATCATGATTGTAGAACATACTTGGTGGGTTAAACTATTTAATTTTAAATAATCAAATTAAATTTGAATCATAAACTTAATTATCGATTTTTATTAATTATTTTTTTTAGGATGAACCTTATCGTCGTACTGTAAATGAACCTATTGGACGACTTTGCGATTATTTCCCAGATATTAATGAGGCCATTAAAAGACGCAATAATAAACTCTTAGATTACGATAAACAACGTGCTAAAGCTCGCAAATTAATTGAAAAACCGCCGGATGACACAACAAAATTACCAAGGGTAATTTTCAAAATTTTTAAATTTTTTAAAAAAATTTCAAATTCCTCATGAATAATTTTTTTTTTTTCTTCTTATATAAGGCTGAACAAGCAGCAAACGAAGCGCGTGAAATGTACGAGTCGCTTAATAATCAACTTTGTACCGAATTACCTAAATTAATTGATCTTAGAGTTCCTTATATAGACCCTACATTTGAAGCTTTGGTTAAAATTCAATTAAAATTCAGTCAAGAAAGTTATGATAGCCTAAATAGTTTAAAAAATCATTTTCCTTCTAATAGCGAAGGACCTGTTGATAATAACGTTGATGCTGTTTTACAACAAATGCGTGATTTAGCTATTTGCGGAATGAGTTAGAAATCTATTTATAGGATTCGGAATATTTAGAATGAACGATACTTTATTTTTCGTTAATTAATAATTTGCAAAATAAATTTTATCAGTATTAGTTAAAATAATTAATTTATATTAGACAAACGTAAATGATATTTCTCTTTATATTTACAGTTACTATTCATTTTAATAATGTTTTGAGAATTGAAAATAAATTTTCCTAAGCTTTACTTAAACCATCAGCATACTGAAAATCTTTAGAATTCTCATATTCATACATATCTAATGCTACTTCACAACTTTCTTTGACAACCCTTTCATGATCGTCTTTGAATTTTTTCAATGCTGGTAAACAATCAGATGTTGCAATAGAACCTAATGCCTCAGCTGCTTCATGTCTAACCATAGATAACTCATTCATATTTTCCAATGTCTTAATCAAAGCAGGCACACTATCTGGACTTTGCATTTGTCCAAAAACATAGGCTATTTCATGTCTAAACAAAGCAGAGGGGTCATTAAAACCTTCGGCAAGAGCTAATACAGCCTCTTTACTACCTAAGTTTCTTAACGCAAACATTGCACGATATCGTTCAAATAATGGTAACTTTGTTTCTAAAAGGATTTCACGAAGTTCTGTTACTGATTGAGTTTTTACATTTGGTGGTGCTGGATCAATTGAGGTATACGAACTAAAAGAAAAGAAAAGAGATTAAAGATTTTTATGATTTAAATTTTAATAAGAGAAAAATGTTTATTCAACCTTTTAGGAATATCCTGCTTATTATTATCATTATCAATTTCATATTTAATTTTTGCAATAGACAATTCACAAGTTTCTCGAACAACTGCATGTTCATCATTCAGATACTCTTCAAGGATATCTAAAGATGACGGATCTCCAATTGCTCCAAGAGCCTCACCTGCCTTTTTCGATTTATAATAATACGGATGAGTTATCGATCTATTATAATATCTATTATAACAAAAAAAAAAAAAAAAAAAAAAAAAATTATGATAAAAATTACCTCATGTCTAACCATAGGATCTTCAGATTTATTAGCCAAGACCGTACGAAGCACAGAATTTGCATATGGATTCTTTATTTGACCCAAAACGTATGCAAGCTCGTGTTTTAATAATGCAGAATCATCATCAAAAGCTATATATGTATATATATATTGAAAAAAGAAAAGAGATATATATATCTATAATGTTTTTCAAAGAATCATACCTGTGACACGAAAATAAATGATTCATTGTTTTTTTTAACTAACCTTTAGCGAGTATGTCTATGCTTTTCTCGTCAGCTAAATTCTTTAAAGTAAAAATGACTCTAAATCGCTTATGTAATGGTACTTGTCCATTTTTGTTGATAAGGATTTTTTCTAAATTTTCATAAACAGCAGGATCGGATTTTATAGAATCTAATGAAGTTGAAGGAAAAATTTCTGTGGATATTGTCATTTTGAGTTAATAAAAAAGTTTTTTACCGAAAGAATATAATTTAAACAAAATAGATGTTTGTACAACATCTTAAAATAACAATGATCCAATCATTGTATTATGGGATCTTACTCATTATTACTACATTAGTAAATAGATGTAAAAAACTCTCTCACATCATTAATCGTTCTTTGTAAATAAAGTAAAAATGCAAAGTAGTAATACAAATAATGAAGAAAAACTCGCCGCTGGCAAACAAGAGAAAGATCTAGGCAACGAATACTTTAAAAAAGGAGAAGTGACGGAAGGTTTATAATAATTTATTTTATTTTTAAAACTTTGACCATTACAAATTTGAATTTGTGCCTTATGGTTGTTATATGTATAAAAAAAAGAAAGATCACACCTCAAGTTAAGCACCTCGTAAATAAAAATACAATTTACTAATAAATTCATTATTTTTTTTTTCTAGCTTTGCGACATTATCATCAAGTCAGTAATTAATTTTTTCTTTACAAATATTTATTTTTAATAAAACAATGGTTTAATATTGATAATAAACAACGCATTATGATTTATAGGCTTTACTTCACTTGCATGGTCTGCAGAATAATAAAACTTTTGCTGTTTTTCGAAAGGAACAGGAGGAAGAACCTAAGAAAGATCCTATACAAGAGGAAATTATGAAAACCACGAGTGTGATTTATAGTAATATTGCTGGTTTGTGTTGAGTGTTTTTATAAATCAAATTATCTTGATCATCTTTATTTGATTTAATTAAATATATTTCTTTGTTTATAAAAACAGCATGTCTTATCAAAAATCAAAAATGGTCTCGAGCAATTGATAGTGCGAATAAGGTATTAAATTATATTTGAAACATTTTAATGATAATAACAAATAAGACAATTATACTTTACGTAATTTGTATAGGCTTTGAAGAATGATCCTGATAATACAAAGGCTTTATTCCGTCGAGCTCAAGCTTATATCAATGAAGGCAATACGACTAGAGCTCGAGAAGATTTAGAAAAATTATCAGCAAAGAACCCTGAAGGTAAGAGATATGAATCAATCTATTTTATTATTACTTTACCTTTCAAATAAATTTTTGACCCACATTTCTTTTATTAAAAAGATGCGGCAGTTAAACGCGAATGGCATAATCTTAGATTGAAAGATAAAGAACAAGATGAAAAACAGCGTAGAGATTTAAAAGGAATGTTTGAACGTAAGTGGAAGTCAGAAGAAAAGGAAGAAGGAGAGAAGAAAAGTGAAAATAAAGATGAAAAATTAACAAGTACCGCTGCTGGTAGCTCGAAAACAAGTGCAATGGAACCTCGTTTTATTGAACTTGATGAGTAAAATAATTATAAGTGGTAAATTTTATTATAATGCAGTTTTAATATTTCTTAACAATTATTATACCTTTTAACCTATCATTACACGATTAAGAAATTATTATTTACTAAATATATATTATTATTTTTTTTTGAGAATTAGGCTGAATATCTTTTGCTATAAAGCGTTAATTATAAACAATGTATCTCACGTGATTTAACGATCTATATTAACATTATCTCACGTGACTTTACTATTTTTTTTTTTTTTGTGTGTTAAGAAACTTTAGAATTCAAGAGTTTCTGTTTGTATTTTTTGTTAGAATTTGTAGTAATGCTAAATTCAATATTATAAATAAATAAATTTCGAATAAGATTAATTTAATAAAATAAACAGTGAATTAAGTTTTATTGATTTCTAGATCTATTTATATATATATATATATATTCTATAATTAGTGACAAAAATAAAAAAGCAGGGTTAACAAAAAAGAAACCTGATATAAGAAAAAGAAGATAATCATTGTTTGTTTATTGTTTATTATTATTTTTTTAAAATTAAAAAAAAAAAATTAGGAATTGGGCGAAATGGCAAGTTAAAAAAAAATCGTTTTAGAACGCGATGTGATGATTACGAAATGTTTATATTTTTTTCATGATCTAAGTGTCACCATTTGTCACCATACAAGATACAAGAGAATTGATGGCATGGAATACACATGTTAATGTTTTTTTTTCACGGCGAGATAAAACAACCTGTTTTCCAAAAATAGTACAATAAATAAGCAGAGAATAAGTGTAATGTTAAATATGTAACACACAATTTATATATATAATTTACACTGAATCACTGATGAACAGTAGTTGCAGTTAATTGAAATACATTGCACATGAGCAAATAGCAAACAAACAAGTGTTTTTTTTCTATCTTTTTTATACGGTATTGGTTATTTTTTTTTTTCTCATTTATTGTTTTTTTGTTTATTATTTGTGACCGACAAAGTTCAAATTCAAGAAACATGACAAAATTAGCTTTTGATTTCGGTATTTCCCGTGTGTGATCCCATTATTCTTTCGGAATTTTTTTTTAAAATCAATAAAAAAAAAAAAAAAAAAAAAAAGAAATATTAGGTATGGGCTTGCATGAAAATAAAGGATTTTGGAACAAACTTGGGTAAACGAATACGCATCTCATTTAAGTACTTTAAAAACCCAAAAGATCATCATCATATTATATCATATATATCATCTATTTTTTTAATGTAACTCAACACCTTAATGGATAATAAATGATAAAACTAATTATTAATGAGAAATAAAAATCATGTAAATTTTACAGTATTTATTGTATTTTACAGTTAATTTTACGAAAGACGCGTTATAATGAAAAATTATTTTTTTTTCACGTGTGTTAATATTGTTAGAGACGATAAACATTACGTATACAAAAGCAGTAATCATCCATCTAAAAACCAAAAATCTGATTGGTGAAACTTTATAAATACTTTTTGGATACAGAAATAAATAAGATAGATAATGCGTGATATCATACAATTATTAATATTACCAATAAAAAAGTTTTGAATAGGTGAGATGATGTAAGTAGAAGGTTTATCAATATTATAAAGAGAGAAATGAGAAGAGAGAGAGAGAGAGAGGAAGAGAGAAAAATGGTTTAATTTATTACAAAAAAAGATGTATAAAAAAAGAAATGATGATGATTGGTTTTCTTTGTGATTAAGCTTAAAATGATGATGCAATTATATCAGGAAAAGATCTCCGATTTGTAATGACATTAAAGATATGCAGGGACTTTTTTAGGGTTTTGGTAAATATTTATTTAAATATTTACAAACTTTTACCGCCCGCACATACCAAAGGCGTTCATCCTCGTTAGTGATCACACCTTATTTAAGAATGACGGGACATAATTAAACCTGGTGATATTTACAAGTTTTATTAAATTTATTGGTTGATCAGATGTTTAAATAAACGTATATATTTAGAATTTGTTATTATCGATACTACGCCACTTTCACATGATATTACGCCAACCTTAAAAACTTTAAATTGTGTTCTTAAATATTTACCCTATGTTTTCTGGTTTCAGATGCGTTCTTTACCTACGTAATATTCGGCCAAGTGAGTAATTGTATATTTGTAATTGAGTAGAGTTTTTTTTCTATCATTAGATGGGGTTGTATTCCCATTAGTTGAAGTTTAGTTCTGGAAAAGTTCGTTATTTGCATGTACTTAACACAGCCACCTGTGACATTATTAAGTAAAGTGATGACTAAAATTTGTTACCTGCGTTTAAATATAATTGTATAATTATATGGAATATAAAAATTTGGAGAATTTTTTTTTTTTTTTTGTTCGATTTGTAATTGAATTTTGTAATTGAATTTTGTCATTGAATTTTGTCATTGAATTTTTGACAAAACTATTCCGGCTATGTTTAATTAATTTAAAAAAAAAATTGAAAAACCTCTCATACCTCGGAACTCGGACTCAAAACTACCTTGATTACACCTCATAAAACTCTCACCAATAATAGATTATTATCTACTGTATATCTGTATAATCGTAAATACAGATTACTCACGTTACATGAATATGTATCATGTATTCGTAGCAAAATAAATTACCTTTAATTATTTGCAATTATACATTTTAAATCAACATATCTGTATTTAATCGATGGTATAACCATGGATACGTAAAATCGAGAGGTAGAATAAGTTGAGTTTCCACTTAATTAGAAAGTATTTCATTTGAATCCTGCATGTATTGTACTTTACATACGATCTTCTACCATGCTTATACTACGATACTAAGATTCTTTATTCTATATGCTAAACAATTCGAACCAAGAGTCTTAAAGTAAATTTCGAATAATCGAATAGATAAGTAATTACAATGACAGATATATATATTTAGAATAAAACATACCATAGAATTATTTCGAAAATATTGGGATTAATATTTTACTTGTGATGTAAGGTTGTCACATATTTTTACTAAATTTTTGGTGTTCGAATTTTGAATTTCTTTTTCAAATCAATTGACCGAGGAGAAAGAATTAAGTTATCGCTTAATTTTTTTTTTTTTTTTAAAAAAAAAAGGATTCCTAAAAATATGTGAATATATAAATAAATACCTTTCAAAAAATGAGACAACCTTGATCTTTTGATTTTTATTTAAATCATTTAAAAATCGAAAATTGTATTATTATTTGTCTAAGACTTACCTATTTGTATCATTTTCTTGGAATTGATGAAATTTACTATTTAGATTTATTATGTTTGATATTAAATAAGCATTCAATTCAAAAATAATTCCGAATTAATTAATATACTGAATTGTTATTCATTATATCCTCTTACTTTCATACATGTATTTACTAAATTCATTGGTGATTCAAGTCTTTTTTCAATTACATTCCATAATTTCTCGTTATTATTAAAGAGAATACGAGATTACTTTTATGAATTATTAAGGATAAACCGTAATACTTGGAGAAGTAATATAGGGATAAAACGTGAAACTTGAAGTATAATGATAAAACTTGAAGTATAGGGATAAAACGTGAAGTATAAGGATAAACTTGAAGGATAAAACTTGAAGTATAGGGATAAAACGTGAAGTAAAACGTAGAGTATATTACTTACTCGTAGAAGTAGTATAAGGACTGTCTCTTATACACATCTAGATGTGTATAAGAGACAGGTATAAGGATAAACCATGAAGTATAGGGATAAACGTGAAGTATAAGGATAGTATAAGGATAAACGATAAGTATAAGGATAGTATAAGTATAAGGATAGTATAAGTATAAAACGTGAAGTATAGGATAAAACGTAAAGTACAAGGATAAAACTGAAGTGTAGGATAAAACGTGAAGTATAGGGATAAAACGATAAAACGTGAAGTAACTCGTAGAAGTAATGCAAGGATAAAACGCCAAGTATGATACTTATTAGTAGACGCAATATAAGGAAGTATGTTACTTACTAGCAGGAGTAATATAAGGATAAAACGTAAAGTATGATACTTATTAGACGACGCAATATAAGGATAAAACGTGAAGTATACCGATCTATACGAAACAACGATAAAATTTTACTTTCCTCACTATATAAGAGAAGATATAAATTAATGATACTTTTCAAAGATATTCAATATGGAACTCGATGTAATATCGTTATATCGAAGTTTTGACTGTATTTACTAGAAAGAACTAAAAAACGGTAATATTTCTATTAATTTCCTGTTTGAAATATGAATACAAATATTTAACTACGTTTTTCTTTTGAAATAATTCCTCAAAAGAAAAAATACACTTAAATCATTTAATCCACTTAACTGACTTTTTATTTTCATTTCAACTTTTAGATATTTAAAAATTTTAACATGAAATAGAATCTAACTTTAGACATTTTAAATGCTTATTGAACAAAATGACACATAATTTCTTTTGCCTAATAAAAGTTTACAAAAGAGTTACAACTTACAAGTACAAATTTAAATCAATAATCTATTTTTAAAATAAATAGTTTGTATCTCATCATTCATTCATTTATTCATTCATACTTACTTATATCACCCATTGACCCGGACAAAAAATTTACTAAATCGGTAAGAAATCGGTTAAATTTTTTTTTTTTTTTTTCCCCTAAGAAAACACTTGTAACTTTTCCCCGGGTCAGTCTAATTGATTTGACATTATTATTACATGTGATAATTGAAATTAAAACGTGAAATGAAAATTAAAGGTAACATTGGTAACATTATAATCTTATAATCTTATAATCATAATTATTATTACTAAAATTGTTAAAGAAGTTACTAGGAAAATAAATACAATCGTCATTGGATAATATAATTCCGTAGGGGTGTAGGAAACTCCTTTGAGATACGTGTCAAAGATCTTCTATCTTATACTTAATATAAAATTTGTAGATCTCTATGAAAAAAAATTTATTAATCCTTACCATAAAAGTAACAAAAATTTTCAACTTATAGGTCCAGACCCTCAATGTTACTTCAATGAGTTTCTTGGGCACCTATCCGAATCCAATCCAATCAATTTAATTAATTTTAATTGCCGATCTGTAAAAATTATTAATCGCGTAAATCTTGTAAATCATATATATTAACAATACCAACAATTTTTTGTATAGGAAATTCAAATTTGCTATATCGGAATGATCTGTTCCGTCAAACAAAAGTAATAAAAAAAAAAATTATATATCACAGTCTATCACAGTTTTTTTTTAATTTCACAAATATGTCAATACGGGTAAAAAAAAAAATAAAGTTTTTACGGATATTAAAATATCCGAAATGATGAACTTTTTTAATTGTATAAAATGTAATACAAAATAAAAAGAAAATCATAGAAAAAAAAAAAAATTTAAAATAAAAAAAGAAAAAAGTTATTAATGTTTTTTTTTTTTATTAATTAATAGATAAAGTTTGAGACTTGCATTTTTTTCATTTAAAACAAATCTTGCTTATAGAAATCTCACTTTTTAATTTTAATCTTTTTTTGTTAAACATTAAAAAACGAGTATCTATCTACCGGGTTAGCAACGGGCCTTAATTGGTATAATTTATATAATTTATATAATGGGTACAATCCTAATAACTGACCGACAATTTCCATCTAAAAACCGGCCCTTTAACCTTAGTTAGTCCTAATAATTATTAAGTTCTTTATTAAAAGAATATTAATTAAATGAAAATTACATATTATATTAAGTTGATTTGTTTCGTTAAAAAAAAAAAAAAAAACAGCGATCGATTTATTATTTTTACTATAAAAAGATTAATACATCTATTTTTCGAATTTCGAATAAACATTTTTATTAATAATGACTAAAGAATAAACAAAATTTTACTTACCACCATTATTTTGTTTCATTAAGTGATCAACTACCAAGACATGGTGTCATTATTTTTCGAATTTCGAACCGACTTCAAGTCTTACTTTTCATTGTTATATATTACCCGTTTTCAAATATCGTAATATAAATCCATGTTACATCTTTTTTTCGAAGTTCGAACAAATATTTTATTAATGCACAAATACAGTATATTGTGTTATTAAATCTCATCGTGTTTTGTTTCATTAAGTGATCAACTACCATAAGAATCATATCATGATACGAATGGTGTTGAATTTCGAATCATACAATATTTATTTAAAAGAGGACAAATTAACTTTCAATGAAAATGTATTGAAATTATAGATTATCGTGTTTTGTTTCATTAAGTGATCAACTTTACTATACAAAATGAACACAATTCTTTTTCGGAGTTTGAAGCAACAAACCTTTATTAATTATTAAACAAATCAAAATTCAGTGAATATATTGAGTTATAGTTTATCGTGTTTTGTTTCAATAAAAAAAATAATATGATCATCTAACATCATATTGAAACTAAAATTTTATTTTTAATAAAAATGCGTGTCTTGTTTCATCTAAAAATATAATTTATTGTTACAATAAAAAAGATCATGTCACAAATGATGTCATCTTTTTTTGAATTTTGAACCAATGATTTATTAGTGTTAAAGAATCAACAAATTTACTTTTAAAGATGTATCGTGTTACATCAAATCTTTGGTCTTTATTTCATTAAGATAAGAAATCAATTATACATCTTTTTTTCGAAGTTCGAACTAATATCTTTTTATTAATGCATTTAAATAATAAACAAATTAACTTTTCAAGAATGTATTTTAGTTATAACTTAACGTGTTTTGTTTCATTAAAAAAAATCATACGATAAAGTATTAATAATGTCTCTTATACACATCTAGATGTGTATAAGAGACAGATATAGTATATTGTGTTATTAAATCTCATCGTGTTTTGTTTCATTAAGTGATCAACTACCATAAGAATCATATCATGATACGAATGGTGTTGAATTTCGAATCATACAATATTTATTTAAAAGAGGACAAATTAACTTTCAATGAAAATGTATTGAAATTATAGATTATCGTGTTTTGTTTCATTAAGTGATCAACTTTACTATACCTGTCTCTTATACACATCTAGATGTGTATAAGAGACAGGTTTGAACTGCATAAACAAGTTAATTTTTCATGAGTGTTATTGAATTATAACTTAACGTGTTTTGTTTCATTAAAAAGGGATAAAAAGGGAACATGGACACAAGTGATACATCTTTTTTTTAGGAGTTTGAACCAACAACTTTATTTTAATACAGTTAAATAATAAACAAAATAATTTTTAATGAATATATTTAATTATAATTTATCGAGTTTTGTTTCATTAAAAAATACTAGTGATCAACTATTATATAATAAAAAGAATCATAATATATATTCATATATATATCTTATCGTGTTTTGATCAACAGAATCATAAAATTCCAGAATGATCGACTATTTGTACTATAAAAGAATCATAATACATCTTTTTCTCAGGGTTCTTGGTATTGGTTCGGATATTAAGGATATTAATGATATAGTTGATATAGTATTAATGATATTAATGTGACATATCTTATCGACATAGTGATCAACTATTGTACTTATAATACAAGTGATATGTTTTTTTTCTCAGGGTTTCAACCAGTTAATGCAGTTAAATTGTGACATGTTTTCATTATGATTATTATGATCAACTAACTATTGTACTGTGAAAGAATCTACTGTAAAAGAATCATAATAACAAGCTTCTCAGGGTTCGAACCTTTTAAACTTTTTAATGCAGATGTTGTGTCATATCTTAATTATAGAAATCATAGTATACAAAGTATATCTTTTCTCAGAATTCAAACACCTATTAATGCAGATATTGTGTCATATCTTTAATTATAGAAATCATAGTATACAAGTATATACAAGTGGTACAACTTTTTCTCGGAATTCGAACTATCTTCCGAAACCTCAAAGAAAATGCATGTCTTGGAAGATAACTTGATCAACTATTATACACTGGTCGAAGTGGTTGGAAACCCTGGTGTACGTGATTAAAACTTGTCAAATTTGCATAATATTTCCATAAAATTTCCATAACATTTCCACACCATTAAAGACCTGATTTTTTTCAGAGTTTAAACTAAATAAACTTTATTAATACTTGAACCATTAATGCAGGTAATAACTTATTTTTCATTATAGATATATTGATCAACTATATCGTAACTATAATGCAACTATGCAAACTAATTGTGACATATCAGATATCTAATCTTCACAAACTATTACAACTATTGTATTGTGAAAGAATCATGATATGAGTGATATATCTTATTAATGCAGATAAATCTTATAATGATTATTATTATAGTGATCAACTACTATAAAAGAATCATGATACAAAGGAGGGATACAACTGATATCTAACTAAAGAATAGAATAAAGGGATGTATTGTGTTTGTATTATTTCTTTTCGTGTTTCGTGTTTAAACACTATACCTTAAATCGTTTTACGGATATACCGAGAGAAAATGAAGGATAAAATATCATCCCAAATGGATAATTATTTATGTAAACTATGTAATCAATCTTTATTATTTTTACTTCAGTTAATGATTGTCAGTATCATGGTTTTTGTGTAATGTTAGATCTATAATAAAAATTATATTTTGTATTAATGTTTTTTTTTTTTTTTTGAAACAAATATTTAATTACGGTTGTGACAATCAAAAAAAAGATCAAATATTTTCAAGAAGTGAGTATAAAAGGAAACAATTTACAAACTTCCCACATTTTACCAGATCTTGTGAACTGATCGATTGGTAAATATTTATATTTGACTTAAACACGCGTTAGACGTTATCGATATAAGTTTATACAATTTTGGAATCATAATAAAAAAGACAACAACATTTATATTGTTACAATTGCATGAAATTATTATTAAAAAT